GGTCTCGAGGTCGGAATCTTGAACTGCTACCCCCAGCCAACTCTCCTCAGCCTCGGATCATTCGGAAACCTTCCTCCTCCAGCGTCAGTTCCCACTAAAAACTTGCCCTTGATGGGGCCCCCTTGGATCATGAAAGTCAGCTGGCTGCAGTCCTCGTCCCCATTTAACTGGATAAGATGGAAACTCATCAATGGCCTTCTGGATGAGGTACTGGGAGTCGAGGACTGCTTCTTCGGGACTGCGCACGTGCGCTGGGCATGTCCAAAGGCGGTGAAGGTCGTCCTCCACGGGTGCTCCACACCTGGCACATCGCGCTGACTGGCTTGGTTTACATTCGTGTACTCGGGCGTTGGTCCAGATCGAGGCCTTCCCGAGGGCATGGAGGGCTTTGGCTCGAATGGGCTGGTTATCCTTCCGAAGCTTCCGATAGGTCTTCTGAAACTGGAACGTGTCGATCCCGAACTCAGCCCCCCCTCCGAGATGGAAATGCGAGGCCCTGTCGAGGACCCGAGACACATATTCACTGAAGTCGCCCAGGAAGGCCGTCTGGGCTCTGAGGTCTCCAGGAACGAGTTTAAACCGCTGATTGCCAGGAAGTGTCCATCCCCAGGGCCCCACCATGTACACTCCTAGGTCATGAAGGGTGGCAATGAGCGCGGAGAAGAGGGAGGTAACCTTACTCCATCGGGTCTTACTTGCCAGACGTGCCACTGTATGAGACCACATTTTCCCGATTGCTTTGTGCAACTCTGGATTCTGGTTGACCATGTCGAACCAAGTCTTGGCGACTTGCATGGGGAGGTAGTGCGCAGGATCCTCCTGCTGCTGTCCCCGTGCTGACAAAGCAAAGCCTGCCGTCGTGCAACCATACTTGGGAACATATCCGAGTCCTCGGACTAGCCGTCCCCGAACTTGCTTGAGTACTGTCGGCGCAATACCTTGCCCCTGTTGTCCCCAGAAGAGCTGTGGACGGGCCCCCGTATTGACCAGCCTCCGACTCCTCTTGGTGGTCCTGGTGAGGTTGGTGACCCCGTTGAGCCTCTGGAGCCCCTTCTTGAAACGTTCCTTCCGAATCTTCGAGCGCCTTCGTAGCCCCAAGGAAGTGTCCAGGCCGAGGTCCCTCCCCTGAAGACTGGTCTTGACGGCCCACCCCAACTCCTTGGTGCGCTCGCTTATTTTGACGCTCAGCCCAGGCACCGACGCGGGAACACAGGATTTAGGAGAGAGCTTGCAACCATGGGCCTCGAGCTTCTTACCCAGGAATGCCATCGCCTCTGGAACCACCTCCAAGATCTCCTTGACGAGCCCCAGGCACGCAACCTCAGGTCGTCAACCCGGGTACGAAAACGAACTCGTGGAAACTGGTAGTGTAAATATTCCAAGATGTTAAACAGAAAGGCTCGGGCGAGAGATGTTGACTGGGCGCGGCCTTGCAGGGCGCTGTCGGCCGGGCACGTGGGTGACGAGCATCCTAGCGAGGCAGAGGACAGAAATCTGGCCGCCTGATGAACAATCATGGCGTGCATGAGCGGGATGGTAGGGTACTCGAGGCTGATGGCCACCCCGCAGACATACTCCGTACAAATAGTGTCGAACAACTTTTCGATGTCAATCAATGCCTCTGCGAGCGGCATCTGCAAACTGGTGACCAGCTCCGCTGTCACTTCACTCAAAAGGGCTGCTCGGAGGCACGATGATCCTCGGATGGCCTCATCCCAAAAAACTGCTCTTTTTGAATCCAACGCGGCGAGGCCTGGGCGGCGCAACTTGACTAGGATACGATAGAAGCTGTTGGCATGGGTGATGGGCCGATCGGCTTCGATACTCTTAGGGAGGAGACGAACCATATTGAGTAGCACCTGCGCGGGATACTTAAAGGTCGCCCGAACCTGATTGATCAGGTCGGTGACGGCAGTCTTGCCCTCGGGCGGCAGGGCGTCGACCTCGCGCGGGCGCCGCAGGTCAGCACCTCCTGCTGAGCTAGGGCTGTGCCTCCGAACAACTTCAAACACTTCGGCCCCTGTCCAATCTGGCTCCTGGGCAGCACGCTGCCGGGCAACTCTTCGGAGCTCTTGAAGCCAGGGAGGATCTTCAGGGCACTGGCGGGGTCCCTTCGGGCTCCAGTATTTCTCCCATTAGGTGAGCTTATGCTGCATGATAAGGATGGGGTCATCGGTAAGGGTCCCATTTAGAGGTGCCACATCTTGTTCTTCAGAAGGGGAGGGGTTCCCTTGGTGATGGCATGTGATATATTACCTCCTTTTTAAAGGTCCTCCTCGATCCACTCCTGGAAGGCCTTCCGAGACGCCTGATTTTCTTTCTTCTGGAAATGTTGAGAAATCTGCTCAAGATATTTCCCAAGAGTCTGCCCTGCCCCAATCTGGAAATTGGCCTCGAAAACCTCTAGGTCCGAGAACTGGCCTGTGAAATACTCGAGAATGACATGTTTAATCTCGGGGTCGACATACTCTGGCCATCTAAGATCGGGAATAATTATGTTCAAAAACGCCTGCAATGCAAAAACTTGTGCATGGGGCCCTGGGCGTCGCAGGAAATGATCACGATCCTGCGCGCGTGCGACGATCACCTGCCACCGGTTTGCGTCGCTGGTGGCCAGCCCCGTCTGGGGCGCTGGCGGTAGCAGAGGACGCCTGAGCAGTTGCGCACACTGGCCTCGCTGCGGGGCGGACTGGGATCCCACCTTGTTGTGGGTTTCCTGCAGCTCCAGGGCTCGACTCAGGATGGCATATTCTCGGGTAATCTGCTTGCTGACATGCTGGGCACAGACGGGGTAGGTGGGTGTGAGGTTCATGCTCTCCTCCTCCTCCTCCTCCTCCGCCCTCTTGTAATAGTATTCCCACGAGTGTTTGACTCCAGAGTATTATTTGGGGAGAGGGGGGGCTCGACTGCATGCCAACATCTCCTTCTGAGCGACTGCGCGTGCCAGAATTCCTGCCACGCCTAGATGCGGTCTCCACGGGCCCCCCAGGACAGCCGTGAGGGAGGTGTCGAGGGCAAGACGCTGGTCGACCGCAAAATAGTCCAGCATGCGATGCCCATTCGAGAACGTCCACGTCGTACTTTCTGGGGTAACCGCGACCCCACGTACCCCAGGAAAGCCACTTCATGGGTTTCTCCAAATCCGCAGGAACAACATTCCAGTCCCCCGCGATGAGGTGGGGGAGCTTCTGCGTGCGGATGTGGGTGGTGAATTCCATGACGATATCACGATTTGCTTGGTTCATCCCAACCCCTGAAATCAGATATACGGCAAAAACCAATACATTCACCCCATCGAGTTTGATAATACAACTGGTCCATCGGGTCCCTATTGCAAGAGGCTTGATGTGGCCCTTGGCTCCCATGACCCGAGCGTGGGAAGAGAGGTGAGATCGAACCCCAAGAAGGATCCCGCCTTGGCTTCCCTGAGCGGTGGGCGCGGCAGGGCAGACATATGTCTTCCAGCCACTCTTCTAAAACTTTTTCCGAACATCCCCATGTCGGTCTAATGCGAGGTGTGTCTCTGTCAAAACACACACGTCTGCTGTGAAACGAGAGTCCAAGATATACTTCTTAGAGGTATTGTTCCATGTAGTGATATTGGCGGCGTAGCTTGCTAGTGACCCTCCCTTCCCACTTGCGTCTCCCTTAGCCTGAGAGAAGGACGGGTAACCAAAATTGGCCGCGAAATCTATGTACGGGTAGTCGGCGATGGCTGCCTCACTATTGCTCACGAAAAGCATGGCCATCACGAGCAGGAGGAACTTCAGCTTCATCGCCGTCGATCTGCATGGTGTTCTCACGCCGCGGGCTGGTGCTGCGCCGCTCTGGGGGCTGCGACGCGGCTGCGCGCCTGCCACGCCCGCCCTGGGCCCGCCCGCCGCTGGGGCCCCCGCTGGCGCCCGCTCCCATGGCTGCCTGGCGGGCAGCCCTCGCCACTGCGCCTGGGGCGGGCGCCACGCCTGCCGCCGCGGGCCCTGGTGGCGCCAAGCCGCCTGGGGCTGGGGCGCCTGGGGCCTCGGCGGCGGCGGCTGGCGCGGGGGCTCCCCCATGCGGCCCCGCCTGGCAGCTGGATGCCGAGGTGCCCCGCGATGGCGGGGTTGGCGGCGAGGAACAGGGCGAAGATGCGCTGCTCGGCTTCGCCCATGGCCGCGGCACCCGCGACTGGGGGCGTGGGGGCGGGCTCCCCTGCCCCTCCCTCTGGGCGCACCATGGCCGCCCACTCTCTGGACTTGGCGGCGGCCGTCTCCTTGGCAGCTGCTTCTTGAGCCGCGGCGACTGCGAGAGACTCTTCTGCTTGCTCCAACTCTTCACGTAGCTGTTCGACTCGTTTCTGACATTCATCTTTGTATGCTGTGGCCCTCTGCATTGACCGCTTGGCGAGGCTGACTTGCTGCGACAACTGGGTTCCTCGGTCGGTACCCGTCTCCTCATCCTCATCCTCGCCTCCGTCAGCGGCGGCAATGTACTGCTTCTTGAAAACCTCCAATTGCGGTCCCCCGAGAAGCCCCTGCAGCCCCTGGACGATACGCATGAGCTGCGGGTCACCCTCAGTGGGCTCCTCATTCTTCGGCATATTGGAGAGTAGCATGGCCCCGCACTTGCACAGCGGGTCCTTGTACGCACGACTGATCCATTTCCATTTACCACACGTGTCACACACAACATACTGCTTATTCTGCTCCTGCTTCTTCCATTATCCGTTCTTGTCCTTGGACCAGTTCCTCCAGTCCGAGGTCCAACCTCCGCGTCGGCCTCCTCCTCCTCCTCCTCCTCCTCCTCCTCCTCCTCCTCCTCTGCCTCCTCCACCTCCTCCTCCTCCTCCTTTTTAACGTTAGATTCGACTAACATTAGGTGTGACGCCTGTTGCGTTCTTCCTCTTCCTCGTCCTCCTCCTCCTCCTCCTCCTCGTCCTTCTCGTCCTCCTCTTCCTCCTCTTCCTCCTCCTCCTCTTCCTCCACCACGGCCCGTGCAGGATAGGCGCCGGAGCGGGCGCCGCGTCAGAGGTGCATGCCGTACCGGATCTGGAAGAAGTGGGGGCCGGAGGCGGCTATCACCTGCGCCCTCCGCCGCCCACAGCCCACATCCCTTAAGCCGTGGCGGACATCACGCGTGATGTCCAGTGGGACAGCCCACATGACATCCGCCACTAGACATCACGCGTGATGTCCAGTGGCGGACATCCGCGGCGCTTGGGACAGCCCACATGGCGACGACCTTCCACCGCGGTGGAAGGTGGAAGGTCGTCGCCAGATTTTCGGTCTCCCAGGGGCCCCTGCGGGAACCCAGGGCCGTCCAAAAAGGACCCGGGGCGATCAAAAAACAGGTCCCTATGGGAGGCGAGGTCCAGACCCGTGGGGAGCCACGCTGGGAGCAACAAAAAAAACTGCATCGGAGGTCTGCGGTCCCCCCCCCCAGCCTCCTCGCGTCGCCGTCACGGGCAGGGTTGGCATGGGTGTCGCTCGCGCGAGCCACTCCGCACCGGAGGCGACCTGTACTTCTGAGGTTCCCTGCGGATGCGAGTCGTGCGCGCGATCGGTTGGTCTCACCGAGCGGCTCCTGTTCGTCACACTCGCACCCCCTCTCCGCACTACCACATCTCGCCGCTCCTCTGCCGCATGGTCCTCCGCTTCGTTCTGGAAATTCTCTTCCTCCCTCCTCCTCCTCCTCCCCCTCCCCCTTCCCCCAATATGATCGTAACCCCCTCCAGTCCCTCCTCCTTGTCATCCTCCATCTACTCGCTATCCTCCTCCACCTCATCCTCCTCCGACTCCTCAAGCTCTGCCTCCGCCTCCGCTTCCTCCTCCGCCGCTTCCTAATACTGATCCTTATGTCCTCCTCCCCCTTATCCTTTCCCTCCTCCTCCTCCTCTTTGTCCTCGTCGTCATCATCATGATTATCATCATCAGCAGCATCATCATCAGCAGCAATCATCGGCAGCACAACGATCAACAGCAACATCATCATGATCGTCATCGTCATCGTCATCATCAGCATCACGTCCATCACTGTTATCATGATCACAACAAATATCACCATCACCATCAGCATCAGCATGAGCACCATCATCATCATCATCATCCTCATCATCATCATTATCATCATCATCATCATCAGCAGCAGCATCATCATCATCAACATCACCATCATCATCTTCATCGCCAACATCACCATCACCATCACCATCTCCATCATCATCATCATCATCATCCAAAACGTCGACATCACCATCAGCATCAGCAGAATCATCATCATGAACATCATCATCACAGTCATCATCAACATCAACATCATCGTCATCATCATCGTCATCAGCATCATCAACCCTGTCGTCAACACTATCACCATCATCCTCATCATCATCAACATCAGCAGCACAATCACCATCATCATCAGCAGCAGCAGCAGTGGCAGCAACATCATTATCATCAGCAGCAGCATCATCAGTAGCATCATCATCATCAGCAGCATCATCATCAGCATCACCATAAGCATCAGCAGCATCAGCATCAGCATCAGCATCATCAGCATCAGCATCAGCATGATCATCATCAGCATCAGCATCAACATCATAAACAACATCACCATCATCAGTATCATCATAATCATCATCATCCTCATCATCATCAACATCATCATCAGCATCATCATCATCTCCTCGCTCTCGTCCATCCCCCCGCGGTGCTCTTCTCCTCTTCTTCCTGCTCCCCTCTCGCTTTCATCGTCCTCCTCCTCCTCCTCCTCCTCATCATCAGCAGCAGCAGCAGCAGCAACATCATCATCCTTCCTCTCGAATCCTGCTGCATATGCCGTTATTGTTGCTGCTGTTGCTGCTCGCTCTGCTTTGCTGGCCCTGCTGATACTGGCCCTGCTGCTGCTTGCTCTGCTGGTGTCTCCAACACGGTTCGCTGCTGATGCATACGCTCTGTGTGTGTGTGTTGCTGCTGCTGCTGCTGCTGCGTGCTGCTTCTGCTGCGTGATGGTGTTGCTGCTGCTGGTCGCTGCTGGTGTTGCTGATCGATGGTGGCTTATGCTGATGCTTGCTGGTTCTGGTGGCTAGTTGTGTGCTGCTTGCTGCTTGCTGCTGGATCTTGCTGGCTGGTGCGGCCAGCCCTGCTGACGCAGGCCGTCGGCGTGCGGCGTGAGGCTCTCTTAGGGGGCCTCTTGGGCTGGCTGGGCGCCTCTCGGACTCCAGTCTTGGAGCTATCTCGGGGTGCCGGGTGGGGGGGAGGAGGCATGGCCGGGACGTCGGGACCCACGCCTCCAGCACCACCGAGGAGGCCGAAAAGCAGCGGCTTCAGAACGTCCAAGGCGGCCCCGGCCCTGGCATAGAATGCGCGGGCGGCGCTCAGGCCCGAGGCGGAGCTGGTCGCGCTGGGGCCGTCCTGGGTCCGCCGGGGGCCGCCGAGGGCCGCCTTGGGCCCACTTCGGTGGCCTGTTCGGCCGTCTTGGGGCCGTCTTGGGGCATTGTTCGGCCCCCCCGCGGGGCCTGCCATTGGGGGGGACCTCTGCCTGGGTGTGATCGCTGGCCGCCGGGAGGTCGCGGCGAGACCAGGCGTGGCGACGGGGGGAGGGCGCTCGGGCTCGGCACCTGCTCCTCCCCAGGGTTGTGGACCTGGCCCCGCACGCCTTCGGCCGACCCTCTGCCCTACATACAAGCCTCGTCAAAAATAACCAAAATTGAAATTGGAATCCTGGAGCAGGTCGAATTGACCAGAAATTGAATAACCAAAATTGAAATTGAAATTGAAATTGAAATTGAAATAACCAGAATTGAAATTGAAACTGAAATAGCATTGGGCACTTGTCAGAAAGCGCCTTCTTCAACGCTGAGAGGGTAATTAGGGTCGGTTTTTTGGACAACGCCGCGTCCGAGTCCACAGACATCCGTCAGCATTGGAGTAGTGCTGACCCCACCATCACCGAATTCAGAAGTCTTCTGTTTATTTTTGACAAGGCTTGTAGGATGGTCTGCGGCTCTCCAGGCGAAAACCAGACAGGGCGGGCGGGGAACGCGGCGGGCGGTCAACGCGAAGAGAATTGAGTGAACAGTCGGAAGGCAAGAGCAAACTGGCTTTCGACAGGAAGTGGGGGCCACGGACTCGCCAACGCTCGGACGGCCATTCCACGCGCATGCTTCGGATTCGTGCATGTAATGTTTCGCAAGATGGCCCAACGTGTTCCTCGGTGGCCCGTGCCGAGAAACATGCACATGTCCGAGCGCTGCCAAGCGGACAGGATGGACACATCGGCACAGTAAGCCCAAGGATCCGAAATAGGCCCGCTGAAGCGAGCACAGAAGCCACCCTGGGGCCCCCGATTTGTCGGGCTGCAGGCCGGAAGTCTGCGCGCCATTGGGGGGGTGGGGCGGTGTCCGATTACCCTGAAGTTCGGGCGCAATGCCTTGGGAAGCCGACTCTTGTTTCCGCCGACCTTCCGCCGACGGAGGCGCCCGCGTTTCACTTCCGCCGCCTCCTGCCAACCTTCCGCCGCCCTCCGCCGAGGAAGAGATGACAACTCCGTCGCTCCTCGAAGGCATCGCCTCAGGGAGGCCGTGCTTGGGGAGCCCCCCCCCCTCCAGTCGCCGGGTGCACGGCGCCGCTGTGGGGGAGCGGGGCATCCCATCGGCGCTGACCGCCGTCCGCCACGTAGGTGACAGTCCTGCGGCAGCCAGGGCGGTCGGCCGGCCGGCGGGAGGAAGAGAGAGGAGGAGGAGGAGGAGGAGGAGGAGGAGGAGGAGGAGGAAAACGAGGCGAAGGAGGAGGAGGAGCAGGAGGAGACAGGAGGAAGAAAAAGAGGCGGAGGAGGAGGAGGAAAAGGAAACGCAAGCCAAATGCACTCTGTAGCCAGGAAAAAGAACCAGGGAGCCATGGAAGTCAAAATGGGCGGCAAACCTAGCCGCGTGGAAGCCCCGCGCGCGGGTGGCGTCCAGCTTGGAGATTTCTCAGAGCCGTGGTGCGAGCACGACTTACCTCCCAGGTGACGGGCCCAACACAAATAGCTATCAACACTGGTGATTGCCGCGAGGCGGATAAGCCGCCGCAAACCAACCAATCTGCAAAAAGGCTTTTCCGCGACCATGCAGTGGCCACGGATGAGCTCGTAGGGCGGGCCGTTACTGGACACAGCATCTGGAGCCCTAGGGGCGCTACTAAAAACACTCGGCACATTGGAACCCACAGAGCTCGCAGTACTGGACACACTACGGACAGCTCTGACACTACCAGAAGCCCTGGCCGACTCAGAGGCCCCCCTGGGGGGGGTCATCCCCGGACGCCCCCAGAAGGGGCCGTTGCTGCTTGGCGGGGCGCCAGCAACGGCCTGCCCAGAACCCACGGGCATAGCTTCAGGAATCCAGGGTCTCGCATCGGCGGACGGCCCCGGGTGCTCCGGCAGCGCCTCGGGGATCCAGGCCCCCGCGCCCTCCGCACCCGACGGACGGCCAACCTCCGGCCCCGAGAGCCTGTCGGCGGCGCGGAGGGCGATCGCAATCGCCTCTTGCCGAGCAGAGGGCAGAAGAAAGGGGAAGGAGGAGGAGGGTGAGGAGGAGGAGGAGGAGGAGGAAGAGGAGGAGGAGGACGACGAGGAGGAGGAGGAGAAGGAGGAGGAGGGAGAGGAAGAGGAGGAGGAGAAGGAGGAGGGGGAGGAAGAGGAGGAGGAGGGAGGAGAGGAGGAGGAGGAGGAGGAGGAGGAGGAGGTGGAGGCGGAGGAGAAGGACGAGGAGGAGGAGCAGGAAGAGGAGGAATAGGAGGAGGAGGAGGAGGAGGAGGAGGAGGAGGAGGAGGAGGAGGAGGAGGAGGAGGAGGAGGAGCTGGGAAGTCTCAGCCGCGCGCGTCATCAACCTCTGGAGGGAAGTCGGGGCGCACCCCTTGCGTTCGAGGCGCGCGCGGGGCGCCTCGCAGGACGGCGAGGCCGCGCAGAGCGCGCAGACCCAGGAGGAGAAGGAGGAGGAGGAGGAGGAGGAGGAGGAGGAGGAGAAGGAGTTTCAACAGGCGCGGCGTAAAGCGCGCCAGGGGCACAGCTAGGCGACTCGGGCACGGCACCGACTGAACGGAAAAGAGCCCAACAGGGGACTGCAACGGTCCAGGGTCATGCCCCCGTGGGGCGCAAGTGCGCGGAACAGGGCACGCAAGGAGGCCGTGTTCCGCGCGCCCTGTTCGGGGCAGGGGGCGCCGGAGTCCGTGCTCCGACCCACTCCATGCGCGGCCGCTGGCGACGAGAGCAAGTTTCTCTCCCCATGGCCCCCTACAGGCAAACAGGGGTGACGATCGGGCTGCTACCCACCTGTTTTTTCTCAGGTGCCGAAGGAGGGGGGGGGATGAAAAGGAGAAGGAGGAGGACGAGGAGGAGGAGGAGGAGGACGAGGAGGAGGAGGAGGAGAGGGAGGAGGAGGGAGGGGAGGGGAGGAAGGAGGAGGAGGAGGAGGAGGAGAGGATGAGGGAGGAGGAGGAGGAGGAGGAGGAGGAGGAGGAGAGGTGGAGGAGGGGGAGGAGGAGGAGAGAGGAGGATGAGAAGGAGAAAGGAGGAGGAGGAGGAGGAGGAGGAGGAGGGAAAGAAACGAAGGGGGAGGAGAAGGACGAGGAGGACGAGGAGGAGAAAGAGGAAGGTCGAGGAACGAGGAAAAAAGGAAAAGGAGAAAAGAGGAGTAGGCAGGCGGAGGAAGGAGGAGGGTCTTGGAAGGAGGAAGGAGGGGGGAGGAATAGGAGGAGGAGGAAGGAGGAGGAGGAGAAGAGGAAAAGGAGGAGGAGGAGGAGGAGGAGGAGGAGGAGGAGAAGAGGAGGAGGAGGGGCCGCCGTCGCGGGCGGTGATCGGCGGCGGCGGCCCGGGCGCCCGCGCGCGTGCACGCCAACCAAAAAACGCCAAGAGGTTGCGTCCGTCCTGCTCGGGAAGTCGAGCACGATGGCGAACTTGATGCTCGGGGCGGAGGAGGCTGCGCCGCCTCGGGAGGCGCGTCGGTCGCCCCCGCCGCCTTCGTCGCCTTCATCGCCCTCGTCGCCTTCATCGCCCTCGTCGTCCTCATCGTCCTCGTCGCTCTCGTCGTCCTCGTCGTCCTCGTCCTCGTCCTCGTCGTCGTCGTCATCGCCGTCGTCGTCATCGTCCTCGTCGTCCTCGTCGTCATCGTCGTCCTCGTCGTCCTCGTCGTCCTCGTCGTCCTCATCGTCCTCGTTGCCCTCGCCGCCCTCGACGCCCTCGTCGCCCTTTTGTGACGGCCCTGGCGCCAAAGGCTTCGTGGCTTCCCTGGCACTCTCTCGCGCCGTGGAGAACAATACGGACGGACATATCTGGCATCTTTCGGCCTCAACAGGCCCCCACGTGTGCAACCAAAAGGTCCCGATGCGGCTACTTTCCGGGCCTCTCCAGGGGTGCGCTCTGACAAGAATTTCGAAACAAGTCCAGCCGTGGCGACAAAGGGCAACCGAGGAGGCCCCAAAAGGCGAAAACGAAGGAAGAGCAGCGGTATCGCACCTCCCAGACATCCGGCGTCTCGATTTTGTTCGAAACGCGGGCCCCCGACCTCTCGGACCGTTTTTTTTTGTCCGAGCCGTTTTTCAGCGGCCCCGAGGCCCCGCAAGGGCCCCAATAGAGGCTGAAAGCTATGAAAAAACTCCGTCTCGATTTATTCGAGACGCCCGATGTCTGGGCTCTTCCTCCTCTGACCACCGGGCACAAGAACCGGCAGAGAACAGCTGGGCAACTGAAGCCGGTTGCGGGGAAGGTTGATGTCCAATCCAATGTCCTTGTCGCAAAGAATGGTAAGATCAACACTGGTGTAACCAGCCTCGGCCGTATCCCTATTCCTAGGATTGACCAGCAAAAAGGCGATGGCAATCTTAGGAATGTGATGTCAGAAACTGAAGGAATCTTGAAGGTCGGCATCGAGATAAGGTGGTGCCAATCATAGGGATAGCTGTTTCAGGCTGGTAATGATTTTGGAGGCGGCCCCCGGGTCTGAGCTGAATGGGCACCAACGAAATCGGCCATGAGGTGGGTCTCGGGCAAATCCGATCAGAACCGGTCCCCCGATCCTTTCCAGGGACGGATCTCACAAGTTTCTCGAGCCACGTCCAGCCGTGGCGACGCGGGAGGCCCCGATCCCTCCTTTGTGCTGGCCAGAACCAATGGTGGGCCAAATCAGCCCCCCCAGCCCGCTCCAATAAAGGTGGACGCCGGCTCGTTTACAAAACCGTGTCCCGGCCAGACCTCCCGAGCGCACAACTGCAACAGCAATTAACCGCTCTCGATCGATAATAACGGCCTCCCCAGCCCAGGAAGGAAAACCGCAGGCGCTGCCGTGGTACGCAGAAGGTGCGCCGTACCCCAGCATAGTAACCATCTATATATATATATATATATATATATATATATATATATGTGTTGTTGCCCTCTGGTGGAAATGTATGTCTTCTTCGATTTATTACGCAGTGAACTTTTACACGCATCCATATGGGAGCGGTTAAACCTCACAGAAGCTGGAAGCGGTCTCGCCTCGGCGCCGCGAACATTCATATTGGGCCTCGGATGGGCTGCCTGCATCGAAAGGGGTAACCTGCCACACACGGCCGGGATTTGTTGCGTAGCGTGTCGCTGCGGCGGCCCCGGCGACACGCTGCGCCCTGCGAGCTGAAAGGGTGTCGCTCCGCTCCGCGGGGCGAGCGGCTAGGGAAGGCTCGGGACATTGACGCTGGAGGACTGGGACATGCTCAGCGTGCCGCGCTGATTCGTGGTGGGCCAGAACTGGCGGCGCGGCACGCCACGCTGACCAGACAAGAGATCGTGTTGTGACGCGGATGCGCGGCGCGGCACGCTAAGATAAGAAGGCTCCTTCCTGACCATACAAAAGATCGTGTTGTGACGCGGATGCGCGGTCGAATCTCAACGCTCCGTGGTGGACAATATTCTTTCGCGAAACATCCTTCAATGAAGAACTACGCAGGACAGGACCCAGAGGGCGCAGGTCGCAAAATCAAGTATCCTGGCAAAGGGCCCGACCATGTGTCGATGCGAGTGCCGCCAGGCAGGTGGGACGAAAGAGGGGCAGCTCCCTATGGGGCCACGAAACGTGTGAGGGATATGCCGGATCGGGTGCGGGTACGCCATGCGGCTGAAAAACATGTGAGGGGTGTTCCGAAATGGGTGTGGTGGCGCCATGGGGGCCCTGCCTCTGGGGCCTTCGGTGGAGCTCGTTATGGGGCCACGAAAGGCGTGAGGGGTGTGCCAAGATGAGGCGGGGCCGCCATGCGAACCCTGCCACTAGGGCCTTCGATGGAGTCCGATGGGGCCACGAAACGTGTGAGGGGTGTACCGACATGAGGCGGGGCCGCCATGCGGACCCTGCCGCTGGGACCTTCGGTTGTGCTTTATGGGGGCACGAAATGTGTGAGTGGTGTGCCGAAGCTGATGGCAATGATGAAGGTGGTGATGATGACGATGACGATGACGATGACGATAACGATAATGATGATGATGATGCTGATGATGATGATAATAATGATGTTGTTAATGATGATTAATATGATGCTGATGATGATGGCGGTAATGCTGTTGATGGTGATTTTTTTCCTCGGCATCAGGACCAACAAAAAAGAGCCTTCGGCATGAGTTCGGAGAATATGGTCCGCCGCAGAGAGCTGTTTTCTCTCCTGAGTGCCCACGCGGGGGCTGAGCGCAACGGGGTGCTGGCGCAGAGAGCCAGCGATGCCCGACGTGCTATGGGATAGGATCGTGAGGGGCGGAGGAAAGCCTGAGCTCGAGAGCGCTAGCACCGATAACCAAGTGCCTATTACAGCATGCCATAATCTGAATGAGTTCGGCGTCGCGCAAAAATGCAAGGGGCTCACATCCCTCGTTTGAGGCGGCTCTGTTGTCCTCCGTGGTCGTGGACCGAGTCAGCTGGCCGTGCGACGGGCCTGGAGCCCTCGAAATCGAGCGAGAGCAGTCCAGCATCCGAATGTGCTCTTTAGCCATGTCGTTCATCGCCATCAAGAGCGACTGATCCCAGAGAGTATGTGTGTTGGTGTCGTCGTACGCGTGCTCCACGGCCGAGCTGATGATCTCCTGGGTGGTGCGGGTTAGATCGTGCATGTCGGCGGCGAGGGCCTGGTCGAAGGCGTCGAGGACGACGTTGGGAATGATGTGGTGGCGAGTCCGCTCCTCGGCGTACGTCCAATCACCAGATTCCTCGTCCACCAGGCTAGAGTTGGGATCGTCGCCATGTCGATTATCCTGCGCCCCTTCATGTAGTTGAGTGTCGTCCTCTTCACCCTCGGTGTCCGCATCTTCGTGATCAGCATCCCGATTATCAAACTCCTCGTCCACCAAACTTGAGTGAGGATCAGCACCACCTCCCGAGCCACCTTCTTCACGTAGTACTGACTGATGATGGTTGCCGTTGGTGTCGTCGTACGCGTGCTCCACGGCCGAGCAGATCTCCTCGGTGGCGGTGGTGCGGGTTAGATCGGTCGTGTCGGCGGCGAGGGCCTGGTCGAAGGCGTCGAAGACGACGTTGGGACGGATGTGGTGGTCGTCACCAGGTCGATGATCCTGCGCCCCTTCATGTAGTGGACTGGCGTCCTCTTCGCCCTCGGTATCCGCATCTACGTGATGAGCATGCCGATTACCCGACTCCTCGTCCACCAAACGTGAGTGAGGATCAGCACCTTCGCCCGAACCACCTTCACGTAGTACTGACTGAGAATTGTTGCCGTCGTGGCCGTTGCTCGTGCTGTCCACGTGCGCCTCCACGATCCTGTCGGCGTACTCCTCGTTGGTAAAGTCCTCGGGCTTGCGCGTCCGCAGCGGCTGGTTGATGTTGAGCTCGCTCGGGATCTCCAGGCCGGGTGGGAGACCCAGTGCAGCGCCGTGACGGACGTGTCGAAGCCGTACGCGTTGCCGGTGCGCTTGGGCGCGCGAGCGCCTCTCCCCAGCCGGGGGGGCGCCACAGCACGTCGGGCGCGGCATCGATCTGGAGCACAACCCAGCGCTTCAGCCCCGCGTGGACGC